GCCTAATCGCACGCACGATCGCCAACTATGAACGCTCCATAAGCATGGGCCAAGTTCTCCAAAAACCCCTCCCTCCTTCTTTTTGCTAAGTCGCGTGGCCTACGAACTTAGACGACATCCACTTGGGAATCGGACGGCACATCTCGTCTATCCAGATGCTAGCGTTTCTGCAAAGTTCTGCACAGCCCAGCTGCTTTCGAAAGAATTAACACTCACTGGTTTCGGCTTGGGTTCTGGCAATACTTCAGGTTTTGGCTCTGTTTGGGCAGACTCGGTGGGTGCTCCAGTTGTTGACTGTAATCAGATGAACTTATCAACTCTGAATGGTAGTTAACTCTACAAGTGGCTTGAAAGACATACATCTCCTGTATCTGTATCTGTGGATTCTGCAGACTCTGATTGAGAAACTGTTTTCTTTTTCTGAAAAGCGATTAAGCTCTACCTTTTCTTGGATCTCATATGTTTTACTAAAGTAGATCATGACAGAGAGCAGCAGCAAGCTAATGGAGGGAAACAGGCTCTCATGGTACGAAATGCGAACTCACCCCCATGACGTTTCTTAATTTATGTTGTTAAAGAATGAAAGTCACTCTACAATTGCAACCGCTTATTTATCATTCTCGATAGAACTGCTGATACCTCACGGCTAATGTATGATGTTTACCTTGTTATCTGAGATGGATGAATCGAAGTCATGGATATAAGGAAACCAGTTTTGCTCCGCCCGCTATCGCGCGCATCACACGGCAGGCTTTAGCGAAACTGGAGGACCCATGGAATATCAGCATGAGGTACTCCATTAACCACCTCACTATTGAATGTGTTAGACCTTTCCAGTTTCGCTGAAGTCCATCGAGAATACGCGTGATAACGTCTGGAGCTGAACTGGCATATTTATCTCACAACTGTAAACATCCAGCATTCTTCTTGAATTCAGATAATTTAGCGGTGAATAGGATTGCTGTCAGTCTCAAAATGAAAATGAAATATGCCTATTTACATAAGTGAGGAGCTAAGGCTTATCATTTATTTACATTCACCATTATTTAGAACCCCGAAAGGATTAGCGGTTTAATGAGTTTGGGCTTTCTTGATAGAAATGAAAGTTATCATTTGCTGAAGACTTGATTGAGTTTATGCAATAGACTGCTATTAAGTAAGCTGGTCATACAATGATACAATGTGCACGTACCACTACAAATAGAATTTGTAAGTAGGGACGCTCTAGTGTCAGCGCAAGCTACGTAACGGAATCGACGACTTCTGACGCGCCTTATCAGCCTTTATCAGTTGTAACCACTTTCCATCACCCACCAACAATGTCCCCGTCCCACCCCACATAACACTTGTAAGTATGGTTGCTCTGGTGTCAACGCGAGCTGGTAACGGAATCGACGACTTTTGCGTTCTGACGCGCCTTATCAGCCCTTATCAGTTGTATCACTTTCTATCACCCACCAACAATGTCCCCGTCCCACCCCACATAACACTTGTAAGTATGGTTGCTCTGGTGTCAACGCGAGCCAGGTAACGGAATCGACGACTTTTGCGTTCTGACGCGCCTTATCAGCCCTTATCAGTTGTTATCACTTTCAATCACCCACCAACAATGTCCCGTCCCACCCCACATAACACTTGTAAGTATGGTTGCTCTGGTGTCAACGCGAGCCAGGTAACGGAATCGACGACTTTTGCGTTCTGCGCATCTTATCAGCCCTTATCAGTTGCTATCGCTTCCAATCATGTACCACCAATGTCCCGGGACCACCCCACATAACACTTGTAAGTATAGACGCTCTAGTACCAATATGAACGACAAAACGAAATTGGCGATGCTCGCTTTCTAGCCCCTCTTATCAGCTATCAGTCGTTATCAGTTCCTATCACGTACCACTTGTGTCCCCATCCCACCCCCTATAACATATGTAAGAACCATGGCGCTATCGTTGCTGTGACTCGAGCTACGAATTTCCGGTCACACACACACACACACACACACACACACACACACACACACACACACACACACACACACACACACACACACACACACACACACACACACACACACACACCACACACACACACACACACACACACACACACACACACCACACACACACACACACACACACACACACACACACACACACACACACACCACACACACACACACACACACACACACACACACACACACACACCACACACACACACACACACACACACACACACACACACACACACACACACACACACACACACAACACACACACACCACACACACACACACACACACACACACACACACACACACACACACACACACACACACACACACACACACACACACACACACACACACACACACACACACACACACACACACACACACACACACACACACACACACACACACACACACACACACACAACACACACACACACACACACACACACACACACACACACCACACACAACGTATAGCGAACATTATAATAGGAAATTAGGCACGATCTGTTTCGGAGGTAGGGGTGTCACCGGAAGTGATGTGTATGCCGCTACGCCGCTTCTGCAGCGGGGCGAGCGCTGCGTGTATTCTTGGATAGTCGCCCAAGGGCGGCTGTGGTGGATGGGGGTATTGTGCACTCGCCAGCGAGGCATTATACCCTCTCACGTTGGTGCTGAAACGTGTGGGTACACAGCAGTAGTGTAGCTGCGCGCTCCAGTGCCAACGTGGATTACGGTAGCGGTCACTCATCGGACTGTTAAAACCGGCTTGTGTAGGAGAAGGTCAAGAATCCCAGCGACATTCTGGGGAATCTGAGAGCTACCGAGCGCGACGTCGGCGGCCTTCTTACAGTTTGAAACATGGCTGAGAGCGTGGAGGAGGTGTATAGTAACTGATGAGACGGCAAACAATACCAATATCCAAATTTTTCCCAAATTTCGCAAAATTTTCCAACCCGTTGGATTCGCTCTGCCAGGTGTTGCAGGAAATACGACCATATTCCGCCAAACCTAACTCACTGCAAATCGCAATTTATGACCCCTTGTCTGGCATCAGCCTCATAACATACTCTTGATCCTTCAGGGCAGGCAAGCGTTTGTTTCGCATCGCAACGAGGGGATTGTAACTGAATTTTGTCGGAGCGAGGTCCTAATTGGTGTTGGTGGTTGTCATGAAGTTAGAAAGGGAAGGGGGGGTTGTATTTTTGGGAGTTGGATGTGTTGTGATGGTGGGAAAGGGGATCGTTTTTGGGTTTTCTAATAATTTTAGTGGAAATAAGAAAAGGTCAAATTAGAGGATCGTTGTTTCATCAAATATGTTTACCCCCTTCACCAGTTTAGGCTGTGTCGACTGGTACATAATCAAATAGGTACTATGGGAACAGCCTTGATGGTGTGGGCGGTTGTCGGGTTGGGAGAAAGGGGCCGTAGTGGGAGGAGCCCTCTAATAAGGCTGATGTTGGTAGGAGGGAAATTGGAATTGGAACAATTTACGTTGACCCTGCTTGCAGAACCTTATTTGCGTAAACCATGTGCATACCCTGGGAAGGGGAACCCGGTGGTTGATTACAAAGCAACCTGGTCATCCTTCAAAATCACGAGAAAACAATTGCAGTTTCACAGACAGCATAATTATCCGTCACATTTATTTTGCGCAATTGAATGCCGGGAAAGAAATGTGTCGACCATTCCGCGTTCCCGAACTCATTCACGTCGTTGAAGATCAGAAATCATTGTCACGTCCATCATAGTTGCCAGTTCCTGTGAATATTTGGATTGTTCCAAAAATTGCTGTAAGAGAATAGTCCAACGACATTTATGTCCTAACCTCGATTTTGTCCTGATTCGCCGTCTTCATTATTTCTTGGTGCCGTTCCTCTAAAACCGTACGGTCGTCCTCGTTCACTGGATGGTCGTTTCTCATCCATTCTTCCTCTCATTCCATTTTTTCCACGATTATTCTTTCCGTTCTGCATTTTTTCTTTTCTAGCCGTACCAGATCTTGGCAGAAATTGATCCACGGCGAACCTCAGCACGCTGGATGCCTGAAATCTTCTCCCTAGAAATGCCCCGTGGATGATGAGGTCGAGGAATGAAAAACTAGTAAGTAAAAAAGGATGACCTGCGGATTTTCAGCTTTCAAATCTGCGAGCGCTTTTTTCCTTTCGGCTTGCGTCTGATCTTCGTTCTCCATCACAGCCGAAAATTGCTGCGCAGCAGACGGTAATGCAAAGATCAAATCTGTGACGTTTTGCTTCAGCTCCTCCCTCAGTCGCATCATGTTTGCATTGAAATCCTCCACTTGCTTCTGAAATTGAAAATGACTTTCCACCCTTAAAGAAGATACTTTCGATAGCTTTTTTGAGTTAGTCACCTCAATCCCATATTTTTGCGCCCATTGCGAAATTTTTTCTTTCTGTTCTCTGATCGTGAGATTTTCCTTGGTAGAGATAGCGAAGAATTCTTGACGGGCTTCTTCAGTCACAGTCTGAAGAAACGGTGGAGGTGGAGGGCCCATTTCTCGACGCGATCCCCTTCCTCCGCGATATTTGTCTGTTGCACCATTTCTATCCCTGTTGCCGTCTTCTCTAGCATGTCTTCTATTAGGAGCACACAGCGCTGTACCAACAATAGCCATTAAGAGTAGGCATTTATTCATCCTGCAAGAACATGGAGTTGCAAAATAAGTGAAGTAAACAGAAATGGAACATGATCTACGGCTTCTAAACATAACCAAACGTAAAAGCCATGGGGTCATAATGAAATAGCCCATTATCGATGAGTGAGGTGACAAATGGAGTGAAGCTTGAAAGGCTTTCACAAGGACCTTATATTTATCGGTAGTGGTGCTGATCTTTGCAGAGACCCGCCCCAGTAGCGGACTCTTTTTTGTGCGCAAATATTGTCGTGGTCTTTGAATGGTCACGTTGACCAGGAAGTGACCGTCGCCTCAGCTCCCGCTTCGAGCGTGCAGCATAATGGGCTTATAATTGTTTTTTTTTGGGATTGATGATTACAAACTTTATGGGTGCTATACCATGAGTACTTCCACGCAAACCTGTGAATCTGTGAGCTTGCAACCGTTTTGCGGCAAGATTGTCCATGATGTAAGCAACAAGTCCCGAGCGATACGTTGTGGAACCATATAGGACACACAGTACGTCAAAATACAGTTACAGTTCATGGGCCTTGGAAGCTTGAAGGTTTAATAGACCTCTGAAAGTAAAGCCGGGTAGTAAGGAAAAAAATCAGACTGTTGCGGCTACTATTTTTAAAGTACTATATTACTAGGTTGCAAAATAAATACTTAATGACTTGGAGGGACGGGGGAGAGTGAGGAAAGGGGGCACTCCATTGGGAACAGCGTTTCTGGCTGAAGACGTGATCTTCGATAGGACGCTAGTTCGAGAAACTTTTTGATAAGTTACCATGAAATGTCCTGAATCCTTCACATTATGTGCAACCTCTGTGCACGTGGTAAATGGTCCGCTCACCCTATCCATAAAATCATCTAGCTTCCCTTAATTCTTGACGTTAGAGACGCAGAGCACAGTGGAATGACTCCCACACTCCTCCCTCTCCTCCTCCCCCCCCCCCGCTCCCAAACCAAATCATTTCCCAATCATTCATTCATCTCTTCTCCTGCAAACCTAACACAAATTTTCAACAGCATTGAGCTATTTTTTCATAAATGTTGCCTCGAGTGCTAATTGCGTGAACGGATGGAAATAGTGTTAAAGAGGGCCATTCCACTCTACTCTGCAACAATAAGGATAAAGATAAAGCTGAGGATATCTCTAGCGATAAGCATAAAAACTCCACCAACACTTACACTTTTCCATTTCTTTTTGCTCATTTTTAGTGGTCCATCCACTGTGCAGCTCCTTTTCCCAACCATCCCTCTCCCAAATGGGTCTGCCCAAAAATACCCGGCTCTTGGCTCAGAGCCCTTTTACCACGTGATTCTAGGCTCGTTTAATCGGTCTTATTTGAAAGCGTTTGAATTGGAGAGTCTTGCTCTTCCCCTTAGTGTTATCGACGCCTTTATTTGATCCTTCCTCATCGTTAGAGCCCCAGCAAAATGGTGTGAACCTCTCCAACCCTACCCACTCCGGAGTCCCTCCTTCCTCCAAGGCTTAGTCGTAACCTTTCAGCTTCTCCCTCAGGGTTGCCAAGCTAGGCGCCGTCCTCTAGTCTCTGTGCGCTGGCTTTTGGGCAAAGAACTTAGGGGAGAGTCAAGTAGCCACGTAATCACATCAACCTATGAACGTAATTTTTCATATAACTTATTTGTACACAGGAAGTAATCTTCTGTTTTCCTACATCTGCATAGAAAACTGTAGAGAACTTGATTTCATTTCTTTCGACGGCTTTTTATGTGATCCGATAAACTCATGCTTCATGTCGGCCCAGTTCAACGTTCTACGCATCAGACAACTCACAGAGGTCACAGGAGCGTTCCCCTCCCCATTCCCATTTTTGATGAGAGAATTAGAGGATTTCCACCTGGTAGCTGGCCAGCTATCTTTTAGCATTTCTTCTCAGTTTTCAACGTCGTTGAGCCATAATCAAATAATCGGACCATGCATTGAAAAGCTTCATGAGCTGATGGACAGTAACTGAGGATGTGTGGTTCTTCACACCTGGAGGTCGTACATTAGATTATCGTAATCTTCCCCTGATGGACATTACTGGCTCAAGACGGAAATGAGAAAGCTTCACAGATCAAAAAAGATTCATTACAATGTAAATATTTAAGGTTAACCGTTGTAGTCTCAATCAATTCGAAAATTAAGTGATCTAACACACGTTACGTGAGCGAAGATTGCATAACGAAGCAAGCGGAATGATCGTTTGGGGCCGTGGGCACGTGGATGCTCGCACTCTTTCTGTTCCTTCACTGGGATCCAATTCCGTCTTTGCGTGCTTCAATATCTTCAAGGTAGCCTTGGTGTCCAACCGACGTTTTCTTCTTCGCCTTGCTGTTGCAAAAACAGGAAACTCGCATGGAGGGCTTGTTGTCGGCAGGCAACAATCACTGTTGAATGCCTTTCCACAGAAGCGAATAAGGGAAATTTCGAACTCCTAAAAAGTTTCTTGATTGAAGAACAATTTTATTCAATGGCAAAGTCTGGGATGGAACTGAGGCATTTTTGCACCTGCATGTGATAGTGTAGATGTGAAGTGTAACGCCAGCAATGGAAGGTGGAAAGAAAGTTGAAAGGTACAAAAATAAATGCTCCGTCTCTAGCAACGGCGAAGCGACAACATTGATTTGAGGGCGGGCACTGGTGTGGGGCGGGGCCAATGCTGCATTCTAGGCCTTAGCGACTCGGCCTTTCGAATCATCCCTAGTTATGTACATGCTTTCCTGCACCGCTCTCGGGGAAGAGCCTAATTCTGACCAAAAATCCCTGACCGACCAGAACTAAAAACGTCTATCAATCTCACTGAGCTTTTGCTTCCCTCGCTGTGAGCCAGGCAAAATATTACCGACAGTAGTAACACTTACACACTTCACACAACACTTCGATCTAACCATAAGACCACATCTGCTGATTACCAAAATTTTTCAGAAATACGTGTGTCTTTCTTTGTTTCCTAATTCACCCATAGAGCGAAAATGTATGCAACTGCTAATGAGGGGGAGGGGTATGATGGAGGGTTTCCGGATCAAAACCTGGTCGAATTTTGTACAGACTGACCGAGCTTTCCATTTCCTGGAGTCAAAGTGGTTCCCTATTTGTCTCGGTGTATAGAACCACCATCTTGCCCCGCATGTCGTTATAATCGAACGAGAATTCCATGATAAAGTCGGTGGTAGAGGAAATCTGTTAAGTGGAAAGATAGGCGGATCCCCTAAATGGCGGACCAACACGCAAATCGCAGCGAAATATATGTTTCGGTGACCTATCATGTCCTTCCCCGCGTCGCTACAGCTGAACTCTCGCCGTCTGACTCCTCTGATCCAGCAGGGAGGTCAGCACCAATGAGAAGCACCTAACACGCGAACCAGTGGGCAGAATTGGATTCTAGCTATCGGATTCTAGCTTGTTTTTCTTGGTGTTCTTCATACCTGTACCACTGACCATCTCTACCTTGATTTCACAGGACTGTCTTTCCATCGAACACTCCGCCTTTCGAATCGCCTTCAAGTGTCGTCTAATTACGTAGGGTTTGTTTCAACTGCGAGACGCGTCTTCGAAATTAAGAGTAGAAACATTCTGGTGTAGTTATCGCACTCGAATAGGAAGGTCGGGATGGACCACAAATGAGAAAAAGGAACAAATGCGTCAAAAACTCAGAAAATACGAACCTCTTGCTTCACGCTGCGGAGAAGTCTAGGAGGCAGACAGCGAGGTAAGAGATGTGAATTGCGGAGAAGGTGAAGGAACTTTGGCTCAAGAGAGCACAGCTGATCAACCGGTACGACACAGGAAGGATATCGAACGGTGGACGGGTAGCTTTCACCAGATGTCTGAGGATTGAAATCCCAGGCGCTAGGTGCCTCAATGAGGCGTTTAGAGGTGCTAGCTTGTTGCGACCTCTACAGTTGCAAACTACCTCCACCTCTTGGTTGGAAGGGAGAACTTTTCAGCTATGCTAAGCCCCACTTTTGCTCTAGATGTAAGGATCGGTATCATAAGTTTGTAGAATAACGCCACGATCGGAATGCGTTCGTGCCGTGCTTCATTCGGTCGCATTTTCTACCAAAACATTACTGTACACTTCGCTTACCCGATTGTGGTCAGGCTCCGACTGCGTTTCATGAAATATGTTCTGAGAGAGCCACTGACAAAGATCACCAATATTGTCGCTGTGTCCAGTTGCTATCACAGCACCTTAAAATATAATCGGTTTTCTGGACCTTCCCACAACAATGGCTTTTCTCTTTTATATAATGACGATTTGAATTGCTGAATTGAAATGATCTGGTTTGAAAATGACGTCTGGTAGCAATCCGTGACGTGCTTGTTGTTCAGCTTTCGTTAGAACAAGGTTTGCGGGCATCATGATCTATGTAAAACTTTTTTTTTACAATTACGAACGAACCTAGAACGCGTGGCGCGGGTTGAAGAGGTATTAATCGACAGCGGGCATTTTGTCTCTGCTTTTTTCGCTATGCAGGTTCTTACGAGTTTTATGTTTTTCCAACATTCCAACAATAGCAGTGCAATGATCTCAACAATACTAGTCACGTTCTAGATCAATTACATCCCCTGGATACCTTATAACCTTTTCACACCAATGGCACTTTCTTTTTTGTTGACTTAGGAACCGATAGAGGTGGTCACGGTGGAAGGTATTACACATTGATGAAGTCGTTTAAAGTCACTGGTGGATATGACGCTTCAGTGCGCTAAGGGTTGTACATAGGACCGCCAAGGGTAGGGTTTAGGTGCCAAGAAATCCCTCCTGGAATGAGAAGAGGGGTCCCAAACGCAGTCGCGACCCAGAAGTGCAACGGAGGCGCTAGGGCCTTCCCCTTTATGCCGTGCTGTCATCCTTATCAATCGCGGCACAAGTTCGTTTGCGCCCTCTCGCACACAAAGAGCTCCTTCACGTTTTCTCTACCCTCGCAGCGCTGTGTCTCTCCGTCATCACGGCCGCCTCATAGGAGAAATTCCAGTGTTCTCTCTTGAGCCTCGCTTCTTCTTCTCAATTACTTCCTCAATGCACTTCTTGTGTAAGAACGAAAAAACACCGATTTGATCTCGACCCGTGCCTCTACGCTTCTTCACCAGTAACGTTCAATGACTTCATCAAGATTGTAACGCCATCCAGCCATCGTAGTTACAGCACTTGAGATGGGATGGACCGCAAATTGTTAGAAACAAAACTGTTGCTCACCATCGGATTGTCCGTGCATATGTGAATCGAATAATGTAAGCGATGATGTTGCCCTTTCAAAAACAATCAAAACTGTTCTTTCAAATGCAATAAGCAAGAAAAATAGGCGGAGGTCTTGGCTCAACTGCGTACTGAAGAAGATTGCAATGTGTGTTCGCCGACGGCTTCAATAATTAGGTAAAATTGGTTGGAACGAATTTTGGATTAGCTAAGCCCTACCTTTTGACCACAGCTTGGATATAAAATGGTAGCTCAGTGCTGAGCGGCCCCGCAGCTGAGCAGAAATCAACCTCCTAAATGCTACCAGACTAGAGTAAAACTTTGTATAAGTTTTTTGCCTTTTCATCGTTGTCAGTGAAAGGGTCCACCAACATGATTTTCTAATGTTCTCGTCAATTCAAAGAAAAACTGAAAAAAGAGAAGTTTGATCAGCTTTGAAGCTAGAAGTGCTACTAGAGTGAACAGTGTTGTGGTGGTTTTTACTTTCCCAGCCCACAGTTAGTGATAGATAAGAAATTCTCTGTGTTGAGCCTGAGCAAATGAAGATGACATCATTCACATAGATATAAAGAAGGAAACAAAAGAAAATGGCTTTGTAATCCCATCGTGATGTGGGGAACAGTTTGGCGTCTACCTAGTCGAAGCAGTTTGAACGAACAGACACGCACCATGACAGAGTTTTTGCAAGCATGGATTGCATCAGGAATTGTGAAGTTCTGTTCTCCATTCACTCGCCGTTTCACTGCTTCTTCATGAATGGCGTTCCCATCAATAATGGCATTTGTGAGGCAACCTATAACTCGCGCAGGACAGGCCTGAAATGTTCTGTGAAGCTCTTTTCTAGTGAGTGTGCTCAGAAAGAGTGAGGTACCATTCAAAGGAGTGCCTTCTAATCACTATCATAATTGGTCTATGGCGAGGCTTTTCTTTTTCACCGGAGTATTCCGCAATCAAAATTTATTCAAATTTCCGGTAGGCTATGCAACTTAAAGTGATGATAAAGTGGGCGCGAGCATGGAAATACGTGCACCGGTGCTGTAGCCAGAGCCAGAGGAGGCAAGATGAGATAAGACACGATGTGGCTCTTCCGCGCCCAGAAGCGAGCTAGTTGCAGCGCATTAAGGTCCAAACCCTTTCTGTGCTTCGCCTCAAGAATCAAGAAAGTGCCATGTAAGCTGCAGTTACAGAAGTGCGAAAAGACGGCCAGTGGAATCGTCATGCAACTGCATGCCTACTCCAAAATGCCTTCAAGAAGAATGGAACAGATGGTGATTTATTAGGTTGGCAAGATTGAAATGTCGCTTCCGTTTGTGCCTTTGTTTCTCAGCTTAAACACAATCTCTTAGGATGGGAGACCATTCATTCGAGAGAGCGATTCAGCACGCATATTGCGAAATCTTAGGCGCCACTGAGCGGATGTTCTTCGAGCCAAAACTTTTGCTCGAAGATGATTGATCAGAAAACATCGTCTGAGCGTATATATTCAAGCAAGGAAAAACGGCCAACGAATCCCACTCATTGTGTGCAAAACATTGAGCAGTAACACTTAGTCTCTGATGCACTTTCAGCTATGGTTTCAGCTCTTCCAAGACTGAGGTAAAGGACCTGAGACGAAGATCGTGGATTTTGACCTCTAGCTCGAGAAATAAAGAAAGCCAACGAATTGAGTCCTCGACAAACCGCACAAAACTTGCATGGAGATTCAGTTGTGTCAACAGAAAAATTTAAAAGTTCCTACGTGCGACTGTTAAGGCCTTTCAGGATAGAAAATGGGTTTGGCCTATTCTGAGCGACGCGAGCAAGCAGTACTGGTTGCCAATACTGGAACTTCGCTCCATAACTTCAAGAGGAAAAAGGTTCTTGACTTCGTGTTGACCGCATTTTACAAAGAGATGTTTCCCAATAACAACGCGAGAAGATGACCGTGGTTGGCGGCTGATGGGCAGCTGAGGGCCTCTCTGAAACCGGACATCCACTGAGAAAAGTCGTGCTACGGTGTGGTGGAACAGTATAAGACTGGCCTACTATGGAGAGCTGATTGTGGGTCAGACAGAAGCCTGCGCACAACAGCCCGCCCGCGTGGACCGAAGCTCT